TGAAAAAAATCTTCTCGTTTAGATATTCTAAAAAGCAGATGAAAGAGGGTGGTGAAGTGAAATATGTTGGTGGATGCACGTACCACATTGAAATTTTCGAGATACAAAAAGATGTATCTCTCATGAATTTGCCTTTGCCTGAGCCATTTATCAATTTCGGGTGGCAGCCATACGGTATGTTCAGTTTCACTTTGCTATAGTGAATGTTTATTCATTTTGCAATGGTTCTGTTTACTCATCTCATTTTCGTGCAGGGGAGAAGTTCTGTGTTCTTACTGGGAATCAAGCGAAGGCAACTCCTCTTGTGTATCGAATTGAAGCTAACAGTCATGCGCCCAAATTAATGAGCAAGCTTGATGCTGGCGTCCAATTTAATGAGGTCAGGTAATGTAATGTCACCTAGAATTGCAATGTTCAGATTTGAGCTTCAGGTGTCTTGGGCTCCTGCTGGTGGTTGGCTGGCTGTCTTAGCTAAGCGCTCTACTGGTGGTAATGTCATGTTCGTTGATACCACATTGCAAGAAGCAAAGCGTACCAATGTCGTAGAACATCCAGGATTTAATAAGGTTAACTTTTGTTCTGAGAAACATACATGTAGAAAAATCAGAAACCGTTAAATCAATTTCGAAAAATCAAGCGTTGAATCCAGGGATATTGGGATCCTACGGGCCGATACTTTGTTACTTGCTCTACCCTCGGCGGTAGAATGGGTGCTGATCTAGGATTCCGATTGTACACTTTCCAGGTAGTATATTTTACATCACTGATTAAAATTACTTTTTGGATAGCTTCCATAGTGAAAACAACGGTTTGTAATTGTAGGGACGGGAGCTGTGTCGAAAAGGTTTGGAAAGGTTATCTCAGTTCAAATGGCGTCCCCGTCCACCTGTAAAGCTGAGCGAGCAGAAGCTGAAGGTCAGTGCTTTGTCTCATTATGTGCTAATGAAAATTTCTTTTTTGTGGACAATGTAGAAATACCAGTTCACATATTCATCGCTAGTTCATTGAACATTTAAAAATATGATACTTTATCTTTCGTGTCGAAGGATCAGTT